AAAGTTAAGAGAAGGAATTTAATTGTTGACAGACTCGTTCTTTGTGAGATACCATTCGTTGTATTTTACTTGATTTTAATACTAATTTGTTGAATTTATAAAATAAATCGTCGACAATTTTGATTAAAAATTATCGTAATAATAGATCAATCTAACTCAAAACTTAGTGAATTTCACTATGACGAGCATAACATATACATTTGTGTGAATTTACGTTAAGATTGAAACGAGCAATCGATAAGTATAAATCTATGTCTGATCTAATTAAATATCTTCTTTTTCTTCGTGATATTTTCAACTTTATGCTATTATTCATACGCGAGTGTTTAAAAGTGAAACACTATTTCTTAAGAAATATTATAGTACTACAAATATGAGAAAAAAAATTCTCAAATGACTGTGAGACGCAATTGTCCGACAGTCGTCCTGCTCACCAAAAAAAAGACTTTCTGGCAGTGATCGTCTATGTTCTCCGTCATATCCCCGCAATGTACATCTCTGATGTGAACGTCTTTTTTTTTGGAATAGTTGCGTTTGCAAACAATCTATGATCTTCTGATAATCATAGGATGAATCGATGATATCATTGAACGATATTTATTTGCAGTATTATTGATAATATGTGATCACATATAACGATGTATAAATCTAATTTATATTCGTAATTAATCTTTAATTTACCTGCATATGTGTTGCACCAATATTATGTGTAATAATTTGTCCTGTCATTGTATCAGTAACATTATATCTACTTAAATAAAATCCTGCCATTTCTCTATCTAATTCTGCTGAATATAATGATTCAAATTCATATTCTTCATCTTTAATACAACGTTCTCTTAAACGACATAAAAGAACTTCTGATGATAAAACTAATGTCCAATCACTAATAAGATTATTATTTTTACCAATACGTGTTAATATAACATATGATAAACGTAATTGTTTCATATGTATACGAAGTTCATTTGTTGAACGTCTACAACGTATACGTATACGTGTATGACCTGTAAAGGTTGTATTAGGTTCTTCATTATTTGGATATGTTGATTGAAGAAAAACATCAAAATAAAGTTGATATTTTGATGGAAACCAATCATGTGGAAGACGAATTGCAAGTGTTTGATTTAAAAACCATTCTTCTAAATTTCGTTTTGATTTACTAACCCATTGAATATTTGCACGAATACGTTCAATCGATGCTCTAAATTCAGCTTCAGCTGCACCCTAAACAAAAAAAGATTAACATCAATAAAATAAAATACAATACAATAATATAAATTAACAAACTTTATCAGTTGTTTGTTCAGAAAATCGTTCAAATTCTTCTAATTGTAATAATGTATTAAATCTTCCTGTAACATCTTTAATTAATTCAGCAAAATTAAGTGAATCACCATGATCTCGAAATAATTGTGTCCATCTTGCATGTACAAATGTCCAACATTCTGTTTCAGCAATGAAATTTCGACATATTGATCGAATACCATTTAAAACATCTTGTCGACGTATTATATTTTGTTCAGGATTTATATGTATATGAAGTAAATATCGTATTAATTCTATATCTTTTGTACATGTTAATGCTGTTTGTATACGTGCTTTTTCTTGTGGATCATTTGATGCTTGATATTCACGAAGAAGAAATTGAAATCTTGCTCGATCACCTAATCTTATACTTGTACAATAGACAACAGGTCGTTGATTAGCTTCAATTGTATTATTTGATGGTGAATTAAACCATTGTTCAAATAAATCTTGTGCACGTTGTATACAACGATCAAGATCATAACGACATGCTGTTGATATAATCATATCACGATGAAGTGTATCAAGCCATTTATCTGTTAATGAATTATCTTGCCAACCAAGTTTATTATAAATAGGTAAAATAAGATCAACCATATATGAACGAAAACGTTCATATAAATAAAGACCTGAACTACTTGATGCAATCATTTGTTCAATATATTGAAGACCTGCAAGAATACGTTCCCAAACAATATATGAATCTTCTACATTACTATATTCAAGTAATTCAAAAACAAGTGATGCTGGAAGAATATCTAAAACAAAATAAAAACAAAATTCGTTTTAAATTAATAAAAAAAAAAAAATAAGTGAATGAAAAATATATCTTTTTTAGTTTCTTTCTTACTTGGACGTGCTAAATTAAATGCATCATCAATAAGACCAGCTCGTTCAACAATAGAAAATTTTTTATGATCAATTTTAAATTGTTGAATAATTTTCTTCCAATTTTCTTTATCATAATTTGTACGAAAAAATCCTAATAAATCAGGATTAACTAAAATCCATTCATTTGATGGAATATTTATTGTCATATTCATATTAGATTTTGAAAACCATATTATATTTGTTTGTAATGATGATGATGATTTAATTTTTAATGGTATTGACCATATATAATTATATGGTGATTTTAATGGTTGAGCTTCAAAATCAAATAAAAATTGTTTTTGACTTATTTTTATTAAATTTTTATCGTAATCACGTATTATTTCAACATATGGATAACCCATTTGATCAGTCCATGTACTCATTATATCACTTAAACTTGTATTTAATGGTAATTGAATATTATCTTCAGACATTTGTTCACCTAAAACTTTCCATAAATCATTTTGTGTTGCTGTTGAATATATATGTTGTGATAAATATTTTGATATACCACGATTAAATGTATTATTACCCATAAAATTTCTCATCATACGTAATAATGATGAACCTTTTGAATAAGTTATTGCATCAAAAATACTTGTTAATTGTTCATTATGTGTTATTTTCATATTAACAGGATGTGAAAATGAAATAGCATCATTTTGCATAACAGATAACCAACGATAAGCAATAAATTGTTCATATAAATCCCATTCAGGATGAATTTTATCTGTATAAACAAATTCCATCCATTTAGCAAAACCTTCATTTAACCATAAATCATCCCACCATGATGGTGATACAAGATCACCAAACCATTGATGTGCTATCTATATTATATATAGAGAAGAAAAAAAAAACAAAAATAATTATTGTTGAAAATTTTAATTTCTATGAAAATTATTTAAACAAACTTCATGAGCAATAACTAATGCAATATCTTGTTTATTTTTTGATGTTGATGTACGATTATTGTAATAAAGTCGTGTTTCACGATATAAAATACATCCAAAATTTTCCATTGCACCTATTAAAAATAATAGATTATTAATCTATGAAACTTTTATGTTATATCTCATTAATAACAATAGCATATGTTGTTGTTGTTGCTGTACATTTAAAATATTATTTATTGCTTAGTGTAGAAAACAGAGCTGTCAGCCTAGTGAACCATCCAGGTACCCGCCAGACTAGTGTTTCTTGTATAAGAAATATTTTTTATGATTTATCTCTTCGTTTTAATTGACTATTTTTTTCCAAAAACTTGTCATTATATTATACTTCATGAAAATAAATTAAGTGTATTACTGAAACTTGAATGATACATTATAATAAGGTTATAGAACTTAGTGGATAAAAAAAAAGAACAGAAACGTCAGTCAGCCAACGACATTGAACGAAAAAAAAATGACTCGTTGACAGCTCTCATAGGAAAGAATATGATTAGATTTTGAGTTCTAATTTAAATTCTTATGTGATGAAAATTATTGAATGTTTTCATTATGTGTAAAATTCTGTAAAAGGAAAAAATATACATATAGAATCGTATAATTTGTTTTTCGT